GAAATCCACTTTATAATAACAGAGAAATAAAACATAAGCATTTTGGAAGCTTTAAAATATAATTACTAAAATGTCTCAATTCATTGTTTATCTAATATATGTTTTTGAAGACGACACAGTAGAATATTTTTTGTGTTGTAATATTTGGGAAAGAAAAGCAACTAGAGAGAAAATATTTGAAATTATTAAAAGATATTTTGAAACGAATAATCTTACCTAGACACAATGTGTACTGATGATGCTGCAGCGTTAACCAGGTAATTATTATAACGAACAAGAGGGTTAATAATTAAAATTGCTCCCCATACAATATTTAACCATTGTATGACACATAGACAAGCTCTTGTTGCAAAAGATATTGATGAAGAATTGCACAAGATTCTGCAGGGTTATTACTGCAATTAGCATATTAAAAGGCAAGATCCTAAACAGTTGTCACTTTTTAATACGCTGTAATGAGATAAGTTCTGTGTATGAGACATTATTACCAAAGTCAGTTGCTTCCACACAGAAAAATACTGCGGCATATTTTCAATTTGAGAAATACAGTTTACATATTTAGTATCTGATATGACAGATACTAAAGAATACAAAACTAACTAAGAAACAGTATCTTTTGATAATGCTATTGTTTTTTAATCATTACCATATTTTTCTCCAAACATAAATGATGTCATTTTAATTGCTGAAGGAAGAATGAGCGATTCTCCAATTGTAACAAGGTTTTAAATTTTTTGCTATTAAATATGAAAATTTTAAGGATGCCCGTAAAGCCTTCTCAGGAACTGTTGTATATTTTTTCAAAAATAATTTTAATTTTTCATGCTTTCAGCTCATTCCTTAAAAAAATTCTTCAGATTTACTTACTAAATCTTTTATGTTTAGTTTCTAAATATGTTTTTAATTTCGCAGGTTTCATGCTTTCCATGTGCCAAGTTTTCACTGCATTTAGCACACAATGGATATTCATTTTCCATTGATAATGAAACATGTAAAACAGTATAAAAAAACTCTTCTTGATATTTACTCAATTTTTTATTAGAAGTAGAAAGAGAGCCGGTGGATTCATGTTTATTTGATGTTGGTCCATCCATCCCACTTCTCTTGTAAACATTGGGTATCTATTTTGGGCCATTTAACCATCATGAACAAAATTGTTTTTATTATCCTTCGAGAATCTGCTGAATTTTCTACTACTTAGGAAATGTTATGCGCTTACTTGACAACAAATTTGATTAGAAATAAGAAACATAGTTCATAAATGATGCATATTACAGTTATAAATTGCATGTAAGACACTACTAAGCTAGCTGAAAAAACTACGTCTTACGGATGCGCGTATGCAGTTGCTTTGAAATTCGATTCAAGCTCTTTGGAAATCATCAAGCATAAGACACAAATCAAGTGGGGAAAATATGAAAATGTTTAATTTAAAATTCCGGGCAAATGTTAAAAAACATCCAAAATTTTCTTGAAATTCCATATATCTTTTATTGTCAAATAAATTTCTTTTAATTTGGTGATCCCCCACAAATTTCTTCATGACTCTCAGGTTTAAATTTTTAAAAAACAATACAAGTTACCAATTGCATTTTGAAAAAAAAAATTATTTCAGACTTGTATTCAACAGAGTATTTTCAAAGTTACGGGGAAGTACGACTTATGTGAAAATGGATAAACATTGGCTGTCCAATGTGAAAAGGGAATTACGGTTTGATATGTTATGTCCATAGCTTGTGTATTTTGATAATCGAACTAAATACAGAATGATCTGTTCTTTCAAACTTCTGCCGGAATAACTGCTAGAAGATCCCACTTCAAGTGAACAGAAAGCAAGTGTTGTATTCTTGTTCAACAATTACAGTTCTCTCGCATAATACTTACAAGGAATGTGCAATGAATTTTATTCCTTATTTATCACGAATGACATATCACACAATACTGTGTAGGCTAGTGATCTAGCGATCATCACTCAAAATGCATCTCTGTGTTCAGGCATACACTCCTCGCAGGAATATAATCATGCACTAAATTCCTAGCTTCAGCAGGTACGTTTTGCTGTGCTATGCAATCTCTGTAGGTCCTAAATTCTAAAAACGTTTCCACTCCTAAATTCCAAACATTTTACTCCTTGATGTTTCTGTAAAATCCAAAATTTTGCACTCCTACCATAACCGCACTGGCTGTGGCCTCAATTATCCAATGTTCTAACAAAGTCAAATATTATAACGTTATTTTAGACCAGAGTTTCTTAAACTGTGGATCGAGGACCCCCATCTATAGCAGGAAGTTGCAAAAAATTTTAGCAGTTTTGGTATTTCTGTAACTTAATATAATAATTTTACAATTACCAAAATATTTTTACATAATGTATCTGAAAATAAATAAAGATAAGGCAATACAGACAAAGAGAAAAACAAAAACACTTCAACTCATTCTTTTTATAATAAAAATGTTTATTTTACTCGCTTTGCACATGACGCTGTCATTTTGTCTGTTACTTAATAAAAATTTTCGCATTGCTCTATAATTAAAATTAAATATTAAAGTTAATGACCTAAAACTGAAATAATATCTTATAGTACAAGTGAAAAAAACTGACAGTTTCACTCACGCGTGTGTCGGATTTTCGCAATGCTTACGGTGTCCCACAAAATTTTCATGAATTTGGGGGTCCTGGGGTTGGGAAAAAATCTCAGTGATGAAACAGGGTCATGACTAAAAAAAAGTTAAAGAAGCCCTGTTTTAGTCCAATCAATTTCCTGACGCCAACCCATTTTTTTTCCTGTTTTGTTTCTCAGCTGAATTATGTTTCTGTGGGAATTTTTCTCTATATTTACTGTTTCAGCTGAATGGAAACACCCACTAAAATGTTTCAAATGACTGTTAGGGGAAGAGGATCAAATACCTCACATTATTATTACTATCTCTGTTTATCTCCTGTTTCAATTCTGAGTTGAATTATGTTTTGGATAGAATTTTTCCGTATTACATATTTCAGTTCAAAAAAAATCAACTTTTAAAATATTGAGGAAAAGCATGTACTAAAATGTTTCAAAATGAAAATGTGGGATAAATAAATACATAAATTAGTTTTTTTCTAGGAGTGTAGGAGTTCTTATATACATATATATAATGAAATTTAGAACCAACTTTTCACAAAGACTAAAAAATTGGAATTCAAATGAAAAGTATAAAAGAACAAGAAAGATGAGGAATTCAACCAACTTCAACATAACATTGTCAAGAGGAGGTATGTCGAATTTAATTACATTTCATCTTCTAAAATAAAATCCTTGCTTTTCTGTATCTAGAATCAGCTGATAAACCATTTCAATATATTTTTTATCTTAATAGTTCACCCGAAAATTCTGGTCCTCCTCAAAGAGAAGGAAAATGGCAAAAATACAAAGTAAAATCATTAAAAATATCTTCCAATTTAAAAATATTTTTCTAATCTAAAAAGAATCTTAAAATAATGAAAACATTCCCTTAAAAATGTAGAAAAAATTAAAATCCATCAGTGAAAAATCTTTGAAAGTTAAAAATAATCTTAACACAAAACTTTATTTGAACCTATTATCAAACACCAGTAGCAAAAGAAAATAGAGGGGAAGTAAAATTATTAAAAATATTTTAAAATTTAAAAAGATTTTGCTAGTCTAAAAAGAATATTTGATATTCTACATTTACAGGATTTTATCAAGTTAATTTCAATTTCAATTTTTAGTCTTTGTGAAAAATTGGCTCTAAATTTCATTCTTTATATATTTACTGATCAATTTTTTGAAGCATAATGCTCAAAAATTCTTGTAGGATTATAAATTTTCCTTTTAAAAATTTATTTGTATATACATAGTCCAAACACATCTGTATTTATCTATTGCACATAAATCCCTTTCTTACATAAAATATTATGTATGTATAAAATAACTAAATAAATTGTAAAGGAAGTCAGGATAAAAAATATCCTCTTCTGTTCGCTTAATTAGCAACTATGAAATTTTAAAAAAGTAGTATGAAATGTATAATGGCAAATATTAAAATAGAAGTAAATGAAATTTAAATTATAGAATGTACTTTATAAAATTAATAATAAAATTAAATTTTATAAAAAAATAGTGGTTAAAAATATATTTTTTAATTACTTAAAACATGGAATTTATTTGGCAGAGATTGTTGGATATAAAATTGAATTCAAATTTTCAGATTACTATTGTTCATATGTAAAGTCTCAACTTGCAATCTTAATCCACATAACAGCCATTGCAAAAATAATCGTTATCATGTTTCAAAGATCAGCAGCATACATTTTTTTCAAAATCTTGCATAATATTAAATATTGGCTTTTGATGGTCAGGTTGATACAAATAAGATGAACTGTTTTTATGATTTTAGACTAGTAGTTTATTCTTTCATTCACTTACTTTTCTACAGTATTTCATTTTTTATATGCTCGACTATCCAAAGTTTCAGGAACTTTCAGGATATTTTTTTTTAGTTGAGTTTTTACTGTACACACATTTCAGTATTTACATCGTCAGAAGTGCACAGGCACATACTTGAAGTGAATTTACTTTTACAGCTAAACACAGGAACTGGAAAGCAAAAGGTACTTATTTGGAGATTGTATTACTTTTTCGTTCATGAAAATCAAAGTTCATCTTTTGAGGTATACTGACTGATTTGTATAAAGTGTTTATTCACTGATTTATGCAACTATATTGAGATCTTTTTGGGGGAGATGTGTGTCTACATTACATGAAATATCGGACACTGAAAGGGATCTCTAATTTACTGAGATTGGTTAGAAGAGTAATATTTTTATGTGTACATACATATGCACTTGTGAATGAGAAACACTAGCAAGAAAATTTCTATTCAGATAAATATTGTATCATTAGTCTGTGGACCCTTTTCAGTCACTGTTGTATTCATTTATATTACACCTATTTATAAATGAAGTACTGATACCTGTATTATTTAATTATTTATTTCAGGATACACTTGGTGAACCACCAGCAAAGGAAATATCTTTAGAAGATCATTGTGCTTACAAATATTTATTCAATTTCAGAGGTGTGGCTGCAAGTTTTAGGCTAAAACACTTGTTCCTTTGTAGATCACTGGTTTTTCATGTGGGCAGCGACTGGCTTGAATTTTTTTATCCAAGTCTTAAGCCATGGGTGCATTATATTCCTGTTCCAAATGACATGTCGAATATTAGGTAAGCATTATTTTCTTCAAAATAAATTACTGTGTTTTTCCTCATTTTGGATATAAATGCTTATTTTTCTAATCATTGCAGTGATCTTCTAAATTTTGCTAAGGAAAATGATGAAGTAGCAAGAAAAATTGCTCAAAGGTTTGTTCAGTTATGCTTCTTAGTGCATTATATTGTCATTAACTATTGTTTTATCTTCTGTTCTATGAATCAAATTATAGCCATAATCTGATCATCTGCCATAAAGTATTTATAATTAAATATAGTGCAAATTAGTATACAGAACTTATTTTAGCAATTAAATGACATTTAACCCATTCCTTATCAAAAGAAAAATTATTGCAAAACTGATATTAAATGCTGATTTTCCAATTATTTTTGTTTTGGCAGCCTTATGCTTGATTCTACAACCAAATAACGCATTTTTTCTTGTTAAAATACAAATACAATACAATGTCTGATTTTCAGAGGCTCATCAGTGGCCGAATGTTTGCTGAAGACTTGTGTTTTGATCTGCGTTCGATTCCAAGCAAACGGAGTGGCTGCATGGTCATTTTCATAGTTTTCTCCCATGTGTAACATGGATACAAGCCAATTTCTTAGAAAGCCTTCCAATAAGACATCCCTCCTCTTAGGCAGGTAGCCCTAGCATGCTTTGCCATAATGATATAAAACCAAAATCCACAATTGTTAATACAATAAAATACCGAAAATCTGCCAACCTGAAATCCGCGTTGCTGCTCAAAATATAAACAGTTAGTTTATAGGTTCCGGAAACCACAACATGGAGTATGAAATATCGAAGAAAAAATACTTACTGGATAATGACATCATAATTACTGAATAAGTCATAACAGAAATACCAAATTATTGACATCATGGTAAGAGTTTTCTCCCCTCCAATCTGCATCGAGGTAAAAAAGCAGATGATTAACTCAACTCTTCTTTCAAGTACACACTTCACGTTGTTGTAGTTTTTGAGCTTTGTTATTTCATGAGATTCTTTAGTTATGTCGTTTTTTTTATCCGGATATTTTGTGGATAAATTAAGAATATTTTAAATTGCAAAGCTTTTTTATATAATGGCAGATAAGAAACGCACTTGTGATTTTACTGCTTGCAACGTTGAAAAACGTAAACACGTTGCATTGATGGTAATGAAAAAAATGGAAATTCTGCTAAAGAGGGAGGCAGGTGCTACTGCCCGGAGTGGCTGCATGGTCATTTTCATAGTTTTCTCCCATGTGTAACATGGATACAAGCCAGTTTCTTAGAAAGCCTTCCAATAAGACATCCCTCCTCTTAGGCAGGTAGCCCTAGCATGCTTTGCCATAATGATATAAAACCAAAATCCACAATTGTTAATACAATAAAATACCGAAAATCTGCCAACCTGAAATCCGCGTTGCTGCTCAAAATATAAACAGTTAGTTTATAGGTTCCGGAAACCACAACATGGAGTATGAAATATCGAAGAAAAAATACTTAGTGGATAATGACATCATAATTACTGAATAAGTCATAACAGAAATACCAAATTATTGACATCATGGTAAGAGTTTTCTCCCCTCCAATCTGCATCGAGGTAAAAAAGCAGATGATTAACTCAACTCTTCTTTCAAGTACACACTTCACGTTGTTGTAGTTTTTGAGCTTTGTTATTTCATGAGATTCTTTAGTTATGTCGTTTTTTTTATCCGGATATTTTGTGGATAAATTAAGAATATTTTAAATTGCAAAGCTTTTTTATATAATGGCAGATAAGAAACGCACTTGTGATTTTACTGCTTGCAACGTTGAAAAACGTAAACACGTTGCATTGATGGTAATGAAAAAAATGGAAATTCTGCTAAAGAGGGAGGCAGGTGCTACTGCCCGGATTATAGCAGAATCGTATTGATTGCCACACGAACTGTGTATGATATATGGATGGAGCAATAAAGAAAAGCTGTTGAAATTTTACAGCAACAGTGATTCTAACACCGGAATCTGAAACCAGAAATCTTTACATGAGGGAAAATCGACAAACCTCGATGCTGTCTTGTACAAGTGGTTCCGGCAGTGGTGAAGTGATGGGGTACCTATTTCAGGACTACTCCTGAGAGAAAAGGGGAAGCAGATTCATGGTGATTTAAAAATAGAGGAGCCTAATGTAAATGAATAATATAATATAATCAGTTTATATATGTAATAATAATTTAATGCATATAATTAATTATTGTAATGTATATAATAATTTAATTAGATGTATCTAACACGCCTTATTTATTTTGCACTTTTAGTTTGAATATTATCTTTTTTGTCCTGAAATCCTAAAATCGCCACAACCTCTGGTCCCAGGCGTTGCGGATTTCTGGACTTCTACTGTACTTTGGCTGTTCTGGATTTTAGATCATCAGTTTAAATCTAGTAAGATGACATATAGAAATTATAAAATTAAAAATATTCTTTATTAATATTTCTCTACAAAAGATATATTTTTGTAACAAAAGATTTTTCTCTGAATCACCACCACATGAAATTAAAATTGAAATTCCAGTATGTCACAAAGCCAAAATGGTGGTATTTTCTGGATTTAAAACCATACTACAGATATTCACCATTCCTTTAACTGATTGATGATTGAGGTGTTCTTATCACAGTGCAAGTGTTCAATTTTATCATCTTCATTTAGCATTTCTTGTCATATACCTTTGTACAGAAAATATGTCATCTTAAGATATCTGAAAACCTTCAATTTCACAGCTGTCATCATGATCTTGAAATTTGGTAGCTGACTAATTATGCCAAGCATTTTTAAAAATATCTGCAGGCATGTCCTGTCATGATTTTGCAGTGCCCATACATTGTGCTTGATTATTTTAAAGATTTCATATTATTAAAATTTATTTAGTATTTTTATAGATTTTATGTAAATATTTTTCTTTAATTCTACCGACTTGCAACATCGGTTTTTAAAAATATCCGCATTTCGTTGCGCACAAAATTCCGATATCCATTGGTTGATTGACAGATATGCAGTTTTGGGGAAAGTGTAAAATGGAGACAATATTATTCATTAAAAGCATAACATTCATTATTGTTTTCACCACAGTGATATTTCCTAGCCAGCAGGTGTTTAGAAAGGGCATACAAGAGTAACAGTTACCAGGAAAAAAATCACTTTTATGGCACATCTGCTTTTTCTAGCATATACTGGTTTCCATTTCTGGAATATCATGTACTTTATAAGAGAAATGATTTCTTGATTCCCCCCCCCCAGTGGCTTGCAGGTCTGTATTTTGGACTTTGTGCTGTAAAATTTTGAAATGATGTGAAAGCCCAACATCTTATTCCCATCATGTCACCATTGTTTGTGAAAGGCCTGCAAAACAACCATATTTTCTATCCATGGCTCTTGTCTAATTCAGGCCTGTCCAACCCTGATAGGCTGCTTTGGAAATGCATTTTATTCTGGGGGCTACAGTGTATATAATTATAAATATATAAATTTGGGGGGGGATTTGAAACAGAATACATTATAATTATAGTTTTTAATATTATTCATAAATTAAGAATAGAACAGTTAAACATTTATGACTACATGTAAATAATTATAATAATAGTAATCAGTAGAACTATCAAATATTATATTTAGTATAATCAATATGATATTTGTTTCTGTTTTCTTTCATTTAGTTTCTACAGTCAGTCTCAGCACTTATATTTGTACATCTTAATTGACACAGGTTTTCATCAGTTAAAGATGCCTGTGATTTATATTTCATGAATTTCTAAGTTGATCCAAAAGCACTCGCACCTTTTCTGCTTAGTTTTCAGATTGAACATTTTTTCCTCATGTTATGTAAGCGTTATAAAAATCAGTTTTTGATTCTGATGTTTGAAAAATGAGTTCCAGTTCCTCACTCCAGTGTAAATCACTTAGTTCCACTTAAAGATTTTCTGGAGCTGATCAATGTGGAAGGGAGTTTTATACACTAATGTTTGTGAAAATTCCACCACCATGAAGGAATTGTGTAAACTGAGCCAAACATAAAGTAAGGTAACACATGTGAATGATTAGAATTACAAAACAATTGTGCATGCATGGAATGAGAACTGGCCGCTTGTTCCATGTACGAAAAGGATTGTAAAGTTGCACTGAAATCTATTTATTATCCTCTATCTATGGTGAACCTTTAATTAGTGGTCAGTATGCCTCGTCAACAGCAGAGGGCACCATACCAACAACTAAACGGAGTTTGAATGAGGTCCATCATCGGTATGCAAGAGAGTGGACTTTTGTATCAAGCAACTGTAGCCCACACATAGCATAATGCCAGAACAGTGATGTGTGTTAGGAAGGAAAGCTACAAAGGAGAACCAAACAAGGCAAATTCCTGGCAGTGGCGCATGCTACAGCACAATGTCATGGAACGACAGACACCTCATAGGCATGGCTTTGACAGATTGTACAACACCCTCTCGTGTGTTAGCACAAAATTGGAACATGGCTATGGGTGTTTTGTTGTCTAGCTCCATGGTTCGTAGCCATCTGCCGCAGCATGAACTGCATGCAAGAATTTCTATAGGTCAAGATTCCCCTGTCGCTGAATCACAGACACCTCCAACTTCAGTGGGCACTGGAACACACTGCATGGCATATGCCTTGCAGCAGTAAGTTGTTTTCTGCAATAAATTTCACTACAGTCTGGAGTACAATAATGGAAGAGTAATGTCAGATATTACAGAGGGGGAACGTCTGCCCCCACTGTGTGTTAACCAGCATTGTACCACACAATTGCCTGGCATCATGGTGTGTGAGCAGCTATTGGATATAATTGTCAATCTCATCTTGTGCAGATTGCAGGCAACCTCAACAGTGATCGCTACATCAAGGAAACTGTGGAGCCAAAAAAGGTCCTCCCCATTCTTCGTTGCATTCCAGGCACTGTGTTTCAACATGATAATGCCCATGCACATGTTTCTCACACTGCACAAGCCTTCTTCAACGCACGAGAGATTTCGCTTCTTCCACCGCCTGCTTATTCCCTGCATGTCACCCATTGAGCATGTCTGGGATTTCATTGGTCAGTGATTTGCTCATATGGCTGGGGGGGGTACACACTAAGAGTGATCTTTGGTGTCAAGTCGAAGTCATG